AGTTGCACCTCATTGATCTTTTCATTATGTCAAGAAACTATTAGTGGGGCCACATGGGAAAAAGTTGCACCTCATTGATCTTTTCATTATGTCGAGAAACTACTAGTGGGGCCACATGGGAAGGCAGCAAAGTTATGGAGTGAACTAAAAAACCATTTTGTCCCACAAAGAGTTCATTAGTGGGACAATGGGGACAGCAAGTTGTACCCTGAGTTTGGAACATGTGGCCAAGAACAGCATTTCTTAAGCCATCTTTGCTGCTGAAGTCAATGCATAACATCAACTTGTACCTTTATCCAGCTCTCCATTCCAAGAAAAGGAGAGAGAATTTGCCATCTCATCACAACGATATCCAGCTCTCCATTCCAAGAAAAGGAGAGAATTTGCCATCTCATCACAACGGGTCTATAAGAAAGTAGAGGCTCAAGATGAACCAAGATACAAGCTACCCTACCCAGACGTCAAAGACACCTAGCTTTTAGCAGAAACTTGGATGACAATGTGAGCTGCTCTACTATCAGCTTGAGCAAGGCTGGAAAAGATGTTCAAGGCCAGGTTGGATGAGGCTTTGGGCAACCTGGTGTAGTGGAGGATTTCCCTGCCCATGGCAGGGGGGTTGGAACTAGATGATCTTTGAGGTCCCTTCCAACCCTAACCATTCTAGGATTCTAAGATGGCACATGATTTTTTTTTTAGTATCTTTCATATTCAAGTTTTCTCACAGCACAGACACAGAATTATCTGTTACAACAGTGGCTCACCAATAATCTACAGAGGCAGCTTCATCTATTGACTTCCTAAAGATTTGGTCACTAGAACCGACTATAATATGAAAGAGAATAAAGATCACCGGATGTTCTTTTCCAAAAGATTCACTTATTGACCAAGACAACCATGACAGCCAGTAGCACTTGGGCCCAATATCCACTCCTGGCTCAGCCAAGAGAGTACGCAAGTGGGAGATGCTGTCAGCAATCTGCCTGTGGTCAGGATCGGCTGTAACAGCGCAGCAACACGATGCTGCATTAAACCAACGTATAGACTAAGGAAGAATATAGTCCTCATTGGCAGCACGTGCATTAGTTACAAGTGCATTAAGACTGAATGCTGAAAACAGGGAGTCAAGAAAGACAATGACTGCAGTGATGGAAGATGGCCATTATGAGTGAAAGGAGGGAGAAAAAACGATCAGACAGGTAGATTTTGAGAGAAGGTCATTGGAAGACATGGACATAGACAGCTCTCTGGTACAGGAGGCAGCATGGAAAAAGCAGTCAGTGACAAGTGAGGGAGAACTCAGCAGGCAGCAAAAAGCACCTGTGTGAGAGTCCTGGTGGGCTTCCAAAACGTGAGGCATTAGAGTTCAGTACAGGAAAGGACCAAGAGGCACATCCCAACTAGCAGCTAGGAACGATGTGATTAAAGAGTGAGAGAGACTTCACTTGTTCCGTCTTGGACAGACTGGGAAGTAAAACATCCATCCAGAACTTTATGATAACAACCCTGAATGCCAGGGAAGAAAAGACTTCTAAGTCTGGGTCTGGAGACCAAAAGGGTTATTTCCAAGTCCCATTTAATTAGCAGCATGCCAAGTGGGTTTTGTTCACCTGAAGCATCTGTCTCAAGGATATTGGTATCGTGCAATATCATTCTCTACCCTCCAGAAGTACCTTCAGACTACACCATAAAAAGCATATTTTTAAATCAAGTACTTAGAATGTGATGTGAAATATTATCAGTAATTCACCAGCTTTTGCAATCAAGCTACTGAGACGAGCCTCTCTGATGACTTCTTTTCCTAGGTTTTACTTGTTTATTGGAAATGACAATAATAAATTAGTTACATTATAACAACTAGAACTGGTTTAGTTATCCGCAGTCTCCAGTCAGAAAGTTAATTTATATGGCAAACTCATACTGTTTGTGTATGTACTGTTCTTCTATGTCACAGCACAATTACTCTGAAGTTCTGTTTTGCCATGCATGTACCTAGTGCACAGTTACACAAACACCCAAGCTAATAGCATAGTTTACCACAAGGTTGGTTGCAGCCATGATTTTATAAATCAAAAGTCTTTCCCAGATTGTTTTTCTACAACAGCGTAGGTCATCCCTACAAATATGGGAATATTGTCATCATCAAACTGTCAATAACGGCATGCAGAGACACTCTTGGATTTTCAAACAGTGGATTCCTTTGTTTCCACTCTGCTCAGATTGTATTTGCCTAGCTGATGCTCTGCTGAGGACACAGCGACACAGACAATCCTATTTTCCTTTTAGTGCCACTTCTTCAGTGCTGTTTCCAGATACCCTTTTGGCAGAACAAAGCCAGGACCCAAATGCCAGCATCTCCTGCCTGTACCTTACCCTGGAAAAAGTATTTTCAAGAACTAGGCACCTCCTTACCTGCAGCAAAACCCAGTGTGAAGCAGTATAACAACTAAAGGTTTCTTAACTTCACTGGCAAAAAGCAGGAGTATAAAAAGAGAATCGTGGAATAAAGAACTGCATTTTCTCCTGTAGAGCTATTCCTGAAGATTTTCATAAAACCTAGGACAAGCAGGACTGAGAGCTGCCATTAGAGAAAGGCTGTGGCCATATTAAGAGATGAGAATGAAACATGGCAGAATCTCTAAAATTAAGGGAGGCCACACCTCCGTTTGACAGCTGTAACTGGGCTGAGAATAACTCCACTAGGACTGCACCAGCTCTCTGAAAGGCAGCAATTTCTTCCCAGGAAAACTCCCCTATGGAAACCAATATTTATTCTGTGTGCATCTCCCCACCAAGTATTTTGGTGAAATGAGCATCCCCCCTGACAGATAAGGAATTCTAGGGAGAGATGCTTTAGTCAAGGTCACACAATGACTCACTGCTGAGGCTGCCACTGCAGTTCAGCAGCTCACACACTCACATCCATTGTCTTTTATCAAAGGCAAAAGCCTTGTGGATTTTCTGTAGTCATCAAATCAGCCAGGTCATCTGCTTGGAGGAAAACCTCCAGGAACAGGGACCAGCAACTCCCCTTACTTGCAACAGAGTAATCAGGATATTCCAGGTCCAAACAAAGAATGGAATATCTGAATTGTTCAGGGAAGAGAAAAGCAGGGTGGCTGTGGGTGTCCTCTGTGCACCCCACTTCAGCTGTCCTGCCAGAGCTCGCCCATGGCCATGCCTTGGGCGAGTAGGCAGGACTGGCCACACAGAAACTCACCATCGGGGTGCTTAAGAAAGGCAGCAGCCATGGCAGCAGCCCGCTGCTGCAGAGGGAGCTCCCCAGGCAGACAGGGCTGGCAGCTGAGCTCCACAGGAGCGAGTCTGCCCCAGGTCACCCGCTGCGGGCAGAAGGATTGATTTTTGACTCATCCTTCATCCCACAGTTCAAGTGACACTCAGAGGACCAGGCACACTGACCCTCTCTATGGGTGCAGAGATACATGATGCACTCAGACCTGCCCTGAGCATCCCCTGCACGCTCAGACCTGCCACAGCAACCCACCCCACCCCACAGTCCATGCCGAAACAGTCCCAAATGCACCCCCTTACACCTCCCCATCCGAACATCTCAATACACCTCCCTCCCATACAGACCCTGCATGAGTCATATTCAGACGCAGCACATGAAGCCCCAACGCCCTCTCCACACACATCACTATGCACGAACCCCCCGGCACTCCCCCTTACACACACACAGCCCAACACACCCCCACACACTCCCTGAGCACAAACCCCAGCACATATCCTGCGCATGAACCCCCTCAAGGAATCCCAACACCTCCTCCGCAATTAACCCTCCTTACACCTTCCTCCACACACACACACACACGTATCAAACCCCAAACATCACCAAGTGCAACCCCCCCCAACACCCTTCTCCACACACACACCTTGTTCATTAGCTCCCCCCTCCAAACGTGAACTCCCAACACACCCCTCCACACACTCCCCAAACCCTGTAAAAACCCCTAACACCCCACCTTTCACACATCCACCACACACACTGCGTGCACCCCCAGCACCCCACTCCACGCACAGAGCCCCTGCACGGCCCTCACCACACCCCTACACACACATCGTGCACGAACCCCTCCAAACACCCCCATACACAGCACGTAAATCCCTCCCACCCCCCTTACACACACTACACGAACCCCCAGCACCCTTCGTTTTTCCATTCACACCCATCCACCCCAGTGGGAAACCCACATCACTCCTCAGCCACCCCCCTTGCACCCATGTGGGATCCCCACCTCAACCCAGACAGACGTGGAGATGCCCTCAGACAGCTCCCTGCACCCATCTGGGACCTCCACCTCAACCCAGACAGATGTGGGGACACCCTCAGACAGCCCCCGAGCGATGGACACAGCCATGTCTAGCCAAGAGTGAGACACACCCCTCTGGCTCCACATCTGCCCCCGAACGAGTGAGACAGGGGACACCCGGGGGGTGTCAGCCCCCACGCTGCCACCCTCTCCCACACCCCTCCGGAGGGGAAGGTGAAGGGGCAGAAGCATCCCCACTCCCCCACCGAAACGTGACCTTAACGGCAGCCCCAAGTGGTGCAGCCCCCTTCCTACCCCGCCTCCTCACTGCACCAGACAGCGATGCTAATTACCTTCCTCCAGCTCATCCATGCTCCCGATCTTCCGCGACCCATCGATGGTGTAGATGTAACGGACTCCCTGAGGCAGATTAATGTTGTCGGACAGGGACCGGGTCAGATCGGCCAGGAGAGCATCAAAACTTCGGAAGCGGTCGGAGGACACGGCATATACAATCCCTTTGAAGTAGCGGTCCCCGTTGCGATAGAAACGCACCTTCTTGGCTTTCTTCTCGTTACTCAGTGCCTGTAAGGTCCTGGTTCTGTAGAAGCTACAGTGAGCGCTGTGCGTGGGGCTGGGCAGCCCGTTCATACGTGAGCCTCGCATGTTTCTGGACGCCTTGTCTCTTTCGTCAAAGTGTCCAAAATCAAGTTCCATAGTTTGGTGAACCCTAAAGATCTGAAGCTGAAGCAGGAAGGATATGAAGAAAGAAGGGGTGCAAAGGGACGGGTTAGAGCCAAGCAGAGCCACAATCCAGACAGAAAAACGACACTACTGCAAGAGCTGTGTCTGGAGCAGGACAGATAGATTTGGGAAGTGCCCCCTCCCCTGACCCAGATTTGTATCGATTTTGGGGCTGAGGGAAGGAGGGGTCCTCACATTTTGAAAGGGATCCAACTAGTGGGGGCAGGGAGCGCGTTTCTAGAGAGCTTAGAGAGCTGTCAGCTCCTGCACCTGGGAGTTTTCAAAGTGCAGTGAATTGGGACTCGGGGCCAAAGGGATACATGGCAATCACAACTCAGCCTCAAAAAAACTCGTCCAAACACCAGTTGGCAATGAATTAAACCTCTGAGCCCTGTGAGGTTTCCTTTGGCAACAGAAAACAAGGAGATCCCAGTAAGTCAGCCCTTCAATCTGTCGAATCACGGAAGGAACCAGCGCATCTGAATGTTTAACATCAGAATAAACTGGCGTTTATGAAAGAATGGTCACAGGGGAATAAGCAGTTTCTTTGTGACAGCCTGTTCAATAAGGGTTAGCAATGAGATCCAGCCCACCCTTCCCCCTATCCGCAGCCCCCTCCCAGCCCATCAATCAATTCCCAGGACCAGCCTACATCTCTAAGAAGAAATGACTGGAAAGAAAAATCTGTCATTGAAACGAGGCTTCGATAAGCTCTTTTCAGCCTGCGTCTCCTCTGAATTGCATTTCTGCTCCCATTTAATGAGGAGGAGAAAATAAAGGGGGTATTTCCACTTCACTTCCAGCCTTAAGTGATTTAATAGCTGGAAGTGCCCCTGCCGGCTCACCTTTCATTGTTCTGAGCACGGGGGGGTGGGGGCTCCCAGCACAAGCGACTAGCACAGAAAAGCCGAGACTTGAGCTGACACCCAGCAAGCAGAAATTTCTGCACAGTCTCTAGTTTATGCTCAAGAACAACCTTCCTTCCCCACCAAACTCCCAACACAAAAGGAGGAGGAACCCCCAAGCCTGCAATAGAAAGACCCTTCTACTCCCCCAGCACAACCAGGAACATGCGACTCACGTATGTTGCTCACATGTTAACACAGAGCAGAAAAGGGATTTACACCAGCACTTGGCAGCCAGGTATAAATCTGGGAAAAGCTGTTGCTATCTCTTCCCCAC